GTGCCACCTTTAGCGAATAACCTGGATGACTCCAAAAACAGAATAACGGCAGCGGTGGCTTTAATGGAAGAAGACAATTTGAGAGGCGTTTGGGATGAATTCAGCTGTCGTCTTGACATCCGTGCAGCAGGTGGAGGGCATATACGTAGTGCATTTATAAAAACAGTTAACAAAACTTACTAACTTGTTAGATCGTTTGTGAACTTTCCTGTAATTATAGCATGTTGCCATCGTGAAATATACGGCTCTGAAATTGGGTCCATCATTTTGAAACACGCTGTATATTAGATTTTTTTTTTCCTTGGCACTACAGCCCCAGTGGGCCTAGGCCTACCTCCATGAACTTCTCCGTTCACTTCGGTTTTTCTAGGTCTTACACATTCGGTAGGACTCCTTGGGCGGGTGATCAGCTCGTCGCAAGGCCTCTATCTGTATACAAACACAGAAACACGCACACACACACGAACTGAACATCCATGCCCTGAGTGGGATTCGAACCCACGATCCCGGTTTCCAAGCGAGCAAAGACAATACATGCCTTAGACCGCTCGGCTACCGTGAACGACATATTACATACTATTGCAGTTTATTTTCATGCTATTGCATATCGTTGTTCACACAAAAACCTGCTTCTCTGAGAATGAAACTTTCTCTCCGATCGGCGTTATTTTGTTTTTGTGACGTCCATGTTTGTGCTTCCTTCTTATGCGTGTTGCCTATAGCTGGGCGTATTTCCCGCATGAGCTTCTTGTAGCTGCTAGTGAAGATAAATGGAAGAAAATTTCAGGTTTAACTAAGATGAAGCCTTCAAATGACCTTCAAATGAGATGTTCTGGAGGTATTTATGGAAGACTGACGTCATTTTAGCGAGTTACAAAAAATGATGTTGCTGAGCATTAGTGAGTAGGTTTCTCGCATGTTCTCATGCAGAGAATGGAGGTAACTAACTATTAACTAAATTGTTCGAGGCATTTGTGAAATGCTATCCTGGAAATGATACACTACTTTAGCAAACCACTCTGAGTCCCTGCCACCTAAGTCCTAGAGTTTCAAATACAGTAAAACTTGGTTATAGCAACATCGGTTTCTGCGACACCTCGTCTATTGCGTCAAATATTCAAAGGTACGAACTAATTCCTCATAAAGCAACTGTTTTTATACCTTGCTTAGTACGACATGCACAAATGCATCAACCTCGTATGTAACGTCATTTTCATTCCTGAATTTCTCTGATATGTACATTGAACGTAATTTAGAAAGTGTGTATTGGGCAAGTAACAGGAAACAGATGAAGATAACTGATTACTGTACTCGTATCTAGGTACAGTAAGGCACAACAATTGATGTAATCTACTGTAATTTGGTGAGTAGGCCTACCTTTAATATACAGTATTAGTGCTGTGTGTATTGTCAGTGAAAAGCGCTGTAATATGTCTTTGATATTACACATTTGGGCAATTCCACGTTAATGTTACGTTAGTCTGTACTTAACTACGTATTTCACTAAAAAATGCAACATTTTAACTCGGTTTTTGGTAGATTTTTACGTGACTAACATAGGGCTACTGTGGAAGTGCCCATTTCGGTTACAACGACATTCGTTTATAACGACACTATTTTTAGGTCCCTTTGATGACGTTATAACCAAGTTCTACTGTACACTAACCAGTACATCTAATTTTACTTCCTGTTTTGTATGGGTGTGAAACTTCAATTTTCGCCCTAAATGGAAAGCATAAAATAACAGAAGGATATAGAAAATTACACGATGCGAAACTTCATGTTTTGGGTGGCGTATGAGTCCCACAAGGGAAAATACGTTTCTCAAAATCCATAAAAATGTTAGATGAAAATTTGAAGGGGAAAAAAAGCAACTTTCAAGACTTAGGCATAGATGGAGCAAAATATACTCTTCGCAGGAAGGGGCACGCGGTAGTGTTGTTGGTTGAGGCACTATGTTACAAGCAGGAACGTCGAAGATTCGAGTACCAATGTGGTGGATTTCTTTAATTTATCTAATTCTTCCAGCAGTAATATGGCCCCATAGTCGACTTAGCCTCTAACAAAAATGGGTATCAGGAATATTCCTGGGGGATAAAGGTGGCCGTCGTGTAAGACTGACAACCTTACCGACATCTATGAGCCGATAGTCTATAAAGTGTTGGAGCATCGATGTTTCACAACCCTATGGGCCTTCACGGTCTGTTACAGGGATAGCTTTACTTTACTTACTCTTCGCAGGAAGAAATATGACATGAGGGTGTGAGTGGATAATTTAGGAGTTCTTTTGAAAATCTTTTTTCATAAAATGCGATTTTTTTTTTAACAGCTGAACGACTATACATGTCTTAAGAAGAAATGGTATTTATGAAGCGGTTTTAGTTAGTCTAAGATCCGTTCCGTTTCAAACGAAAGAGAGTGGAACTCTCGTCTTTCCAGGACGATGTCGCTGCTACCTTCATGACAGCACGCCAAAACGCCTGGTCGTATTGTGGGTGGAAGATAAGGTCCCGATATATGGGGTACAGCTAGGAATATGTTGAATTGCGGACAGACGTCAAGGAGCTGTATTTCAATGGAAAGATTATATTACACTAGGCTATTCGTTTCAAAGTGCACATACTTATTATTTCCTGAGAGAAAGTTATTTTCTAGAGATGCTGAAGTAAGCGAACAATTAACACTGAATAAGAGGAACGTCGGCCGGTCACGGTAGCCGAGCGGTCTAAGGCATGTACTGTCTTCGCTCGCCCGTATTCTAAAAAATACCGGATGATGGACGAAGTCCGAAAACACAGTAATTCTGAGTACTACATACAATTATCAGAACCATTTAGAATCTATTAAACTAGGAATCAAATAATCAGTCAGTCAGTCATATCGATTAAATCAAGTTCAAATATTTTCCTCAGGATTTGATTCTCAAACACAATTAACACTGAATAAGAGGAACGTCGGCCGGTCACGGTAGCCGAGCGGTCTAAGGCATGTACTGTCTTCGCTCGCCCATATTCTAAAAACTACCGGATTATGGACGAAGTCCGAAAACAGAGTAATTCTGAGTACTACATATAATTATCAGAACCATTTAGAATCTATTAAACTAGGAATCAAATAATCAGTCAGTCAGTCATATAGATTAAATCAAATTCAAATCTTTTCCTCAGGATTTGATTCTCAAACAATCTCAATTTTTGAACTTCCTTAGTGTATAGAAATAAGTTTTGCATCCATGTAAACGACAACTAAATTATGGTTTTCGAAAATTTTCCAAGTATTAGAACATGCTTTGGAATTTAGTGCTCACGCTTGCTTTGAAAATATAAATGGAGAAAAACAGTTTATCTTCTACAGATCAGTTGTACAGAATCTGTTATATGGGGAGTAACTAAAAGCTACGGGGAAAAGAAACTGGATATGACTTTCACATACCAAAAAAGGAAAAATGTCCATACCAACGTGTATCTGGAAACATTTTATTTGAGAGTAATAGCTGAAAGAATGCTGTACATGCGTGATGGTGCTTCGGCACATTTTAGCCGCGCTGTGCGGGATGTTCTCAGCAACTCCTATAATGACCGGCGGATAGACAGAGGAGGACCCATTGAATGGCATCCACGAACGTTAGATTTGAATTCTTTGAACTTTTACCCGTGGGGACACCTAAACGCCTTTATGTGTGTAGCTCCTGCTGACAAAGAAAAGGCATTTCACCATCGCATTTATGATGCCTCTCAGACTATCTGCAACTACCCCGACATCTCTGAACGGATGCGGCATTCCATGAGGAGACGTGTTCAGGCGTGCATTGAATCACATGTGGGGAGGGGGCATTTTGAGCACTTATTACATATGTACTCTTTCAGCTGCAGGTCACACATTAAATGTTTTGGACACATGCTCATATGGACAATTTTTCTTGTTTTCGTATGTGGAACTCGTGTCCAAATTTTGTTTGCATCTTTCAGTTACATTCTGTATATTTTTTAAATACAGTAGACAACTGTCGTTATACAGAGTGTCCGGATGGAAGGTATTCAAAATAAAAAATGTATATCTCGGAAACTGTCATACATGTATCCGGTTTATTTCATCGGAAACGAAAACTTGAAAGTTTCTTTTCATACCCGGCTTACGCCCATGCGCCACCATGCGCCTGGACAGAGAGATGGCTGGGATATGAATTGGCAGAGGTGGACCAATTGTTTGGCCTCCTATGTCGCCCGATTTAACCCCAGTGGATTTTTTCTTGTGGGGTTGTACGAAAAACATTGTCTACCAGGTTAAGATCAACGACCTTCAACACCTGAAAGCCAGCATAGGGGACGCTGCGGCTACGGTAACACCAAACATGCTTCAAGAATGGATATTTGTCGTGCCACCATGGGAGATCACATTTAAATTTATTGAGAAAGTTATATACGCAGAAAAAAAACTTTGATAGATTCCCTTTGTAATGATGTAACCCATTAATGTATATAATAAATTATTTCTTAGATATAATGATTTTATTTTGGATACCTTTCATCCGGGCATTCTGTATTACAGGTAATGCCAATCTGCAGTTAAACTTTCACTTTCAATATGCCCAGCAAAACTTTCGTGATTTCTTCAGAAGGAAATTAAGAACTTTTCTTTATATTCGGACAATGTTATTGTTGCATCAGAGTGCGACTGTATGCTATGGCGAGGGACAGCAAAAACTGACAAGGACCGTCTTGCATGTTGAGGGTGTTTTAGGAGTTCTTAATAAGCCATCTGCAGAAAGAAACTCCCTAACTCTAATTTAGTGTTTTAAACAAAAGGAATTTATGGAACAACAAGCCAAAAGAAGATAAAAATATTATAAAATATAAACAGAAGCGAGTTTATTAACTTAGATTTAATTAATTAAGTTTCCACGCGTGGATTTACTGTGAAGTGACCACATTTTGCTGAACGAGCCCTTCCCTCTGCTTGCCAAGGCCAACTGCCAGATGCAGGAACTGTAGCATGGTAGTGTGTTGAGAGCATTGCTAGTCGAACACTTGGTCCAGCAACAATGAGGTGCCAACTGCTCTTCCTGCTGATCCCAACAATAGCACAGCAGATGGTGTCTGCTTCTGACAAGTATACCACTCGATACGATTATATAGACATTGACGGCATTCTGAAGAGCGAACGACTGCTGAAGAATTACTTCAACTGCCTTGTGGACAAAGGACCGTGCACTCGAGAAGGTCTCGAATTGAAAAGTGAGTTCCAAATGTTTCCATTCAATTACTGGTCTACTGAACATTCTCTGCCAACTCTTAATGTTATACCAGTGTTTCTCAACTTGTGGGTTGCATCATTTTCAGCTCAAATGCATAAAAAACTTTGTGGCTTTAGTCCGCAAGCGAACTATACTGACCGAGCGAACGCCGCTTGTCGGAGATGTTAGTGTCAACTTTAGCGAATAGAGGGTGTCGCGTGGTCAGCGCAAAGTATGCAAACGGCCGTTAATTTCGGTTTTCTAGACCGGAGCCACTTACTTACTTACTTACTTACTTACTTACTTACTTACTTACTCACCCATGGAGCTGAGCCCTTCTGGAGGAGCCGCCAATTCTGCAGCTACTCAAGAATTTCCCAGCATTTTATGGAACCCAAAGGTTCATTACCGTGTTCACAAGAGCCCTCCAGTGGTCCCTATTCTGAACCAGACCAATCCAATCCATACCATCCCATTCTATCTCTCTAAGATCCATTTTAACATTGTCCACCCACCTACGCCTTGGTCTTACCAGTGGTCTCTTTCCTTCTGGCTTTCCCACGAATATCCTATACGCATTCATCGTCTCCTCCATTCGTGCTACATGCCCTGCCCACCTCAGCCTCCTTCACTTGATCATTCTAATTATACTTGGAGAAGAGTACAAGTTATGAAGCTCCTCATTATGCAGTTTTCTCCAACTTCTGGATCTGTAGCCAGGAACTCTGACCAGTAGACCACAAAAGTTAAGCAAATGCAGTCATATCATTGGGATAAGCCATGTTCTGATGTCTTATTTGCTTGTGCTGCTTTCGTTACCTTTTTCTGCCTCAATATTTTTCATATTTATATATACATATTATATCTTTTTTTCAGGATAGCTATATATTTAATCTTAATATTTTATTTTCCTCTTAATCTTGCAATTTATTATTCTTTTCTGAGATATTGGTAATTGTTGAATGTTACTTTGAAGTCTAATACAGAAAACAACAGAAAGCAGTCTTCTGGGATTTGGCACCGTGTATATGTGGTGTTAACCGACGTTTCGGAGGAACGTATCGCCTCCATCTTCAGGGTAGAAGAAAAAATATAAGAAATCTGCAAGCTAAGAGAGACCGTGAGAACCGGTAAAAGCAGACTGGTCTTATATTTTCCTTCTACCCTGAAGATGGAGGCGATACGTTCCTCCGAAACGTCGGTTAACACCACATATACGCGGTGCCAAATCCCAGAAGACTGCTTTCTTCATAGTCACCGCCGTGAAAGCCTCAAATCTTACAGAATACTACAGTTTATAGGCTACAAATTAAAGCATAAACAAGTATAGAAAGTAATATAAACATACTGTAGCACGCATACGTAACTTTGAGGCGTTCTTTGCGACACTGCAGAGCGTTCCGCCAAACGATGCTGGGTCCTGTACCATCCAGAATATTGTGAACAATTAGATAAGGCATTCCTATCACACCTTAGTTTGTGGTCATTGATTGATTGTTACATTATTTAACAAGGCTTTTCCACCCAAAAATGTTATGTAACGTCGAATGTGATAGGGAGACCACCGTACACGGTAAATATATCTACCGACTGCGTTATCCCTTCACGAATTTTTCGTCGTTTCCGAGAGTAATCGGTTTCCTACTCTTCATGTTCCAGACCTCTACATTTCATAACGGATTTCTTAAGGGCTAATATTCAGGCCTGCCGGTCACGGTAGCCGAACGGTCTAAGGCATGTACTGTCTTCGCTCGCTTGGAAACCGGGATCGTGGGTTCGAATCCTACTCAGGGCATGAATGTTTAGTTTGTGTGTGTGCGTTTTTCTGTGTCTGTGTACAGGTAGAGGCCTTGCGACGAGCTGATCACCCGCCCAAGGAGTCCTACCAAATGTGTAAGATCTAGAAAACCCGAAGTGAACGGAGGAGTTCATGGAGGTAGGTCTAGGCCCACTGGGGCTGTAGTGCCAAGGGAAAAAATATTCAGGACCTGTCTTTGTGTTCTTATTTGTGGTGACCAGTGACAGATTTGAAATCTTAAACACATTGGTCTCGTTACGTTCCAAGGAAACCAGAACTTTCTCTTCCTACCGTATTTGGCTATGAGAATGTTCATGTAGAATAAATTAATACAATTCTTTTTTAACCTTTTCTTTAGAATCAACTCTCGTAATTCCGGGGTTAATTACGTAAAAAAGTATACCCTTCATTTAGTAATAATGTTATTTTATTTATTGGTCATCAGTAAACACTTCCTCTACTTAACAGCTATCAGGCATTACCCCAAATTTCCACTCACTGGTCAAATTTTAACACAAAATATTTGTACGTGACGTTTATATTTATTTACATGTCCGATTTATCGCTGTACCGAATTTCGTATTCCTGACAGAAATTGTCCAAAAGTTACTTTGGTCAAACAGCTGAATATATTTTTGCTTGGTCGCAGTGTTAGTATTTTACTGTATTATTACCCTGTTTGACTGTCCATAATCACGGAATAATAGAACCGATCTACACGAAGAACACGCGCGGTCCCACTTACCACGCGGGCCGCACAGTCTGACGCGCGTGAGAGCATGATCGCCGTTGTCCTGTGGGTCCTGCACAACTAGACACTGAGTCGAGTCGCTTCCACAGCCGAAGTATCTTCGCTCATCTAAAAAACGCTTAACTTCATAATTACTGAGATTTTGAATCTATCCATCTATGGCTCTACAGCCCTTGTCGACCTTAGTTGCTTTTTCAGTTTCTCAATTTGTACAAAGTCGGTAGGACTCCTTGGACGGAGGATCAGCCCGTCGCAAGACCACCACCTACGCACAGAATACAAGCATGCAGACATCCATGCCTCCATTGGTATTCGAACCCACGACCCCAGTGTTCGAGGAGGAGAAGACGGTTCATGCCTTAGACCGCGCGGCCACCGTGATCGGCGAGATTTTGAATAGGAATACTAAACATGATCTGGTTTACGGTGTATATATATACATATATATAAGCCGTTCATAACAGACAAATATTATGTACCAACATGTTTCATTTCTTCAGCTTTATAATGACTTCTTTTTCTGCTGAAATTTTATAGAGCGTTTAATGGAAAGCCTACTGTAATAATTATAGCGAAATATTAGGAAAGACGTAAACATGACCTATTTTATGGTATTATCTCAGTTTTTACCCAGAGGAACATAGGAAACCCACGAAATCCGTCAGTCGGTATTATCGGCTTCCAAGCCCAAAATTGAACTTACTACTTACGAGGCAAGATCCATGTAGAAGTGTCACAGACAAAGGAATTGCACCATATTTGAAGTTCTGAGGGGACCAAGGACAGAATTGAAACTCTAGTCATCTGGGTTGTGCAACTTAGCTGGATATCAAGGTTCAGAAATGGAAATTTGCCTCCATCTTCAAGGTCATCCCAGATGTATAACGATTCTTCGAAACGTTGGTATTCATTTACAAAACTACGCGGTAGAACAACACAGAACACCAGTGACCGAACAAATAAATTGGTTTCCCTGCATAATTTTCATCACACGTGGTGAGTGGGAGAAAGTAAGCAGACCCAGGGGGGAGATGTTACGTTGTCTGATGGGGCTATTTTTCTTTGTGGTATCTCTTAATGTCTCCGCCACCGTCACTCTGTTTTGCACACTGGAGAATTTGAGAGCAACATTCTATCAAACTGAGTAGCTTTGCGCTCTCTTATGCTGAGTTCTGTGACTGGTGTGTTGCAGATACCATCCCAGATGCACTGCTCACGGACTGCAGCAAATGCAGCGAGACACAGAAGATGCAGGCAGGCAAGGTCATGGCCTTCGTTCAGTTGTACCATCCGGACATGTGGGAGGCGGTTCTGAAAAAGTTTGACCCCAACGGAATTTTCAGGAAGAAATATGGAGTTGATGAAGATGATGAAGACGAAGAGGAAGAAGAGGACAGATAAAGAGGAGTTGCCAAGGATGAAAATGTAACAGCCTTGTCCTGAAAAAAACATATTTACATTCTAGATTTTAAAATCCTTTCAGTTACGTACTTTAGTGCAACAATCTATTCTGATCTGTGTATACTAGAAGATAGAATTCTTCTGTTCTGGTTTTATATAATTAAATACGCGACATGGCTGTGGAAATCAGAGTTTATTATTTGTAAACCATAACTAACAATGTCATTACTGTATGGGGCTGATTCTCTAATTCTATTTTCTTACTTCCTTTCTTCATTTCTGTCTTTCTTTGTTTCATTATTGTTCTGTTTATTTTTTCTACCTTTGTGCCGTCTTCTGGTTTTTTCTATTTGTTTCTTGTTTCTTATATAGATTTTACAGGATTACTTCGACTTTGTCCGTCTTCCGGTATTCTAAGAACTAGAAAATACGTACGATTCGGAAAATCGATCTGTTTCTGTCCACAGGTGGGGGTGAGGCTACTACTCTGTTGGGTCGTTTAGAAAGCGCTAACCTCAGTCACTGACGGCGTATGTGAGTGTAACTACAGCTAAACAGGATGTCCCAGGAGTTTGGTGCCATACCTCAGGAGCGTATTCAGGGTTCCCTATAGAACAACTTTGAAATAGGAACCCATAAACGTAAAATAGCAGCGCTAGAGCGGTATTTAATATCATTTTTTTTTAAACTTGGCGCCTCAATGTCGAAGAGCATGCACAGGCACATTACCCCCTCCAAACTCACCTGCTAGAGTAGATGTTGGAATTGGCGCCCTCCATTTTCAGTGCATGTGTTACATCTATGAAAGAAACTTTGGTGCACCCTTTCAGATATTCCAGGTGTCTCATGGATCATGTCACATGCAACAAGTATTCCGGCCAATAGCTCGAATTCATTATCCACAGGCGTGTCGTAGATCAGGCTTTTTCACATGGCCCCAGACGAAATAGTCCAGAGGTGTCAAGTCCGGGGATCGGGGTGGCCAAAGCACTGGGCCTCCTCTTCCTATCCAACGACCATGAAAAGCAGCATCCAGGTAGTCTCGTGATACAGTGCTGAATTGTGCCTGCGCACCGTCATGCTGTCTCCACATTTGCCTCCGCACAATCAGTGGCACGTCTTCTAGCAAAGTCGGAAGGATACGTTCCAGGAACACCTTGTAAAAGGGCCCTTTGAGTCGCGTTGGTAGGAGGAAAGGCCCAATCAAGTGATCGCCAATGATGCCCGCCCAGACATTGACAGAAAATTGCGCCTGGTGGTAACCAACTACAGTAACGTTGGGGTTTTCATCAGCCCAAACGTGGCTATTTCGACAGTTGAACCAGCCATCCCTTGTAAACTGCGCTTCGTGTGTGAAGAACACGTGATTCAGGAAGTTGGGCTGATGTAAACACTGGTTCAGTATCCGCTGAAAAAATTGAACTCGTGGTACGAAGTCAGCTGGACCTGCGTCGTGTACTCATATTGGATGATACGGATAAAGTTGTTGGTCGTGCAGGATCCTCCAAACACTTGATTCTGATGTCCCCACAATCTTGGCAATGGCACGAGTGCTGGTGGATGGCTGTTCCTCTATGCAATGCAGTTCGACATTGAGGCGCAAAGTTTAAACGAAATGATTTTAAATGCCGCCCTAGGGCTACTATTTTACATTTGCGGACATGGGTTCCTATTTCAAAGTTATTCTACAGGGAACCCTCAGTACGCTCCTGAAGTACAGCACCAAACTCCTGGGACATTCTGTATATATACCTGAGATCAGGCTATGTCAGTGGAAGGTAATAGAAAAATATACAATAAAATTTGATAATACATACAGAAACCTGAAACTAAGACAGAAAAGGAAGTGTAACTGTTATGAAACAAACCTAGTCAACAAACCAAGACCATGAAAAACGATGCATACGATTAATCGGAGAATGTTGTGAAACCGGTTTTTGCCATTAGCGTCATCCGTGGAATAAAAACTGAGCCCTCAAGGAATAGAAACACATGGAGATTCTGTCAGATCAAGTTGATTCAACCTATGAGAGTCTAACGTCATTGCTGATAAGTGGGATCCAAATGGGAGAAAAGTCAAAAGTCGATTAAATGATCGGCTTGGTTAAGCACGCCATATGGGCAGATTCCATGTATTTTCTACACCTGCTGTTACATTCAATTTCCAAAATCCTGGCTTTATTCCAACCTACCTTATGAGCCTCTTCTTAGGCAAGCTGGGCTAATTTTGATTCTTGTAGAAGAGCCCGTTGGGTTTGATTTGTTTCATTCTGGTCCGTCACACTAATAATATTATGAAAAAGTTAAACTGTTCCGTCTAGTGTGACTGGTGAAGATTTTTCTTATTTCAATTATTCATGCCCTTACACGTTTCGGTCTTCAGAGGCCATCTTCAGAGGGTCACCTTTACATCAATACAGTTGGAAGTTATGTATATGTATATATTTTAACGTTCAGAGCATACATGTAATAGTAACTTCCAACTGCAGGGCCGCGCCATAGCTCAAGCGGTTAGTCGGTGGCTTCCCACCGCTGCGCCCCGGGGTCGATCCCGGGTCTGGTCAAGTGGGATTTGTGGTGGACAAAGTAGCGCTGGGGCAGGTTTTCTCCGAGTACTTCGGTTTCCCCTNCGCTGGTCCCTATCCTGAGCCAGATCTATCCTATCTCTCTAAGATCCATTCTAATATTGTCCATCCACCTACGCCTTGGTCTTCCCTGTGGTCTCTTTCCTTCTGGCTTTCCCACCAATATCCTATACGAATTCGTCTCCCCCATTCGTGCTACAAGACCTGCCCACCTCATCCTCCTTGATTTGATCATTCTAATTATACTTGGAGAAGAGTACAAGTTATGAAGCTCCTCATTATGCAGTTTTCTCCAACCTCCTGTCACTTTATCTCTCTTCGGTCCAAATATTCTCCTCAACACTCTGTTCTCAAACACCCTCAGTCTATATTCCTCCCTTAATGTCAGAGACCAAGTTTCACACCCATACAGAACCACAGGCAAAATTATAGTTTTGTATATTCTAATTAGTCCACTAGCATTAAAGAAACTTCCAACTGTATTGATGTAAAGGCGTCCTTCTGATGATGATCTTCGAAGACCGAAACATGTAAGGGCATAAATAATTGAAATAAGAAAAATCTTCACCAGTCACACTAGACGGAACTGTTTAACTTTTCATGAGCCTGTTGGAGATTGCGCATGTGTTCACGGAGCCGCACGGCTAGAGGCCTGCCTGTTTCGCCAGTGTAACTTCTGCCACATTCAGAGAAAATGCCGTGTGCTCACCCTGGACAAGGTCCCAGAAACCACTAATTCCTGGATTCTCCTTTCTTTCTTAACCTTTGTTTCTCTCTTTATACTTTGACACTTATTCTTCTTCCTTAGTTCTTTTCTGTTTTCTTAAATTATACGGCGTGACGACAAACACAAAGCAGATTCACTTTCAAATGAATCTCTTGGGGAAAAAAGGGATAGATGGAACAAAGGGGAAGACGAGACTGAAGTGCAGTCGCTGCCGTACGAATAAATAAAAAAATCTTTAATAAAATATGATTCAGAAAATGGAATGGCTACAGAAATATAATTAATTCTCATTACTGAACACAAATGTAATAAAAAAAGCCTTTTTCAGAAAATGATTTGTTTCTCTCATATGGTTCAAATTAAATTTTGCCTCTTAACTACAATAGCTTTCTCAGTCGCGTACTTAAAAAGCGCTAATATCAGTTATGGTTTGTCAGTAATGCTATATACACGTATTAACCTGTGGACACTTCTGCTTCCTTCGACTACGCTCTCTGGTGTGTTCCAGTTTCTTACACATTTGACTACGCTCCTCGGCCTAGGGATCTCTACCTACAAAAAATATATATACGTGTACGTGCTTCGTATGGGATTCGATACGTGATTCTGATGAGCAAAGAGTCCAAGATGCTAATATGTCCACGTAATTTGTTAAGAGGCAAATCTGTCCCTAAACTTCATCATCAGGCCATGAAGGAGTGTGTGGAAGTGGAGGTATAGCTAATAAACATGTTTATTCAGCGTATTAAAATACACGTATAGCATTGGAGGTAGATCCACAGAAAACACCTCTTATTGCAGTCGTTTGTTGCAGCATGACGCGGACCGCATAGAAAACAGCTCTTCCCGAAGTTTTGTCATTGTTGCGTAACGTCACTGCTGTGGCAGAGACGCTTTTATTGCGCCAATGCCTAGCAACGTGCCTCGGGTTTCAGCAGATATGTCACACATGAATTCATGAACAGGGTTGCAGTGCTGACTAGTTTTGCTGGCCCTTGCTTATTGCTGGTTTCTTGCTTTTTTTACTCTTTGACTCTGATAATGAAGCCGATACATTCTTTGGAAACGTGGACGGACTTCTACTGAAGTACACGGCGTTACAAACCAGCATATCGTACGTTTTATAGTCACCGCTGTGAGAACCTCAAGCACACATACTATTTTATTATTATTATTAAAACAATAATTTGAGACTACCTCTATCGAAGAAATCAACAGAGAAGTCTTTGATATCGTGTTCACCTGAAGACGAAAATAGGATCAATTTCCGAAACGTAGTAACTTTAATAAATCTGGACTATGGCCAAAGTCCAAAATTACAGTTTTACGCAGTGCCACACCAAAGCTCTATGCTTGCATTAGTCTGGCTTACTATACCGTCCCGTGGCGGGCTCATATGAACGTGGTTTCTAAAGGGCAGGGAAGTCTCATTAGCAGCTGAATGACTATCGGCCTATCTACAAGGGGCCTTTTACTTGTAGATAATTAGTACATAAATTTAAATAACTGGTCCATATCCAGACTGATTTCAATTTTCCAAGTATAATGTCAAAATTTCTCGCCACCCGGAGGTGTGTTAATTTGACACAAAATAGGTTCACGAAATATATGTTGCATATGGTGAATTGTTGATATACATATATGGGAACAACTGTACATGTTAAAGAAATCAATTTTGATGTATAATCAGAGGAAATGGCTGTACCAATAGTAACTCGAACTTTCACCAATGTTATCACCCGAAAATAAACTTGTTTTGAACTTAAAAGGCAGAAATATTTCTGGGCCCTCATGCCTCATAAATTTAGTCAACATCCATTAAAGTCTAGGAATAAATCAAGATTCAGATGAACTCACATATTGTAAACAATAGAATGTTCTAGAAGCTTCTTGTGATGATGTAATTAGCAAAACTATTAGATGCTTCCAGAAAGGAAATGTCCTAATTGATCCACATATATATATATTCCACCCCGGGCATTATCAGAACACTTTTTGACATCGAGGCAGCCTGTATCCATGTGTGGAGCCGATGTATCCATTTAGAATTCGGCCACTGCCCTTGCTTAGGCAGACGATGATTTCTTCCCAACAGGGTTTCTATGCATTAACTATGTGCAACTATTGTCGTCAATAAATGTTCTAGTTACAATTCAGTAGTTTTCAATGCCTCCAGTAGATGGGTAAGCATCGGGTACCGCAGCCAGCCTCGCTGGCTGAACGGGGCTGATAGCGAGCACCAGTACCGGCAAGGTGTGGAGACTGGTAGAATATTAAAAGGGGGACGTACAATAGACTATTAGTCGCGGTGCATGGGGAAACTCACCCCCTCCAATAATAATAAAAAAAATAGTTACAATTCAGAAGCAACTCTCAGACACACTGCACTGACTCCCAAGGGAACCGCTGTCCCTGCCAATTTGTCCCATCTCAGGATAAAACAATGTTGGCGGTTTTACGTTCTGTTCTATTTATATTCTCAGTTCAAATAATATGACAGTTATTGCCATCAGGCAAAAATCTAAAGCTGATTTCATGCAGCCTCTACGTAGTTTTAATTTAATTTTACTATTTTTTATATCAGAATATGCAGCCGGTTTCATAAAGATTTTTAGCACAATATGCACTGCGTGTCACACTCAGTGTCTTGCCAAGTGTCAGACCACATTAAAATCTGAGAGAATTCTGCTTCTATTTACAGATAATACTGAGTTATAAAGCATGTTTTCTAGTTTGGTTTCTATGCGGGCGTATGTTATGTATGATTAGGCACCTCTAAACTCACCCCCTTCCCACACACATACATATACACACAAACACATGTTATGTAGTTGTTTCATATTCAACAAATAAACCTTTAAAAACTGTATAATGTCTATTTATGGAAGAAATATTACCCTGAAGCATCCACCTCAGAAGTTTGAACAGCTGTCATATAGGCATTAATGATTGCAGGAAATTAGAAAGTACAACTTTTGGGTGTCATACAATGGCATTAGGTTCGTAATAAATTTAATTTTTTTTCCCCCTTGGCACTACAGCCCCAGTGGGCCTAGGCCTACTTCCATGAACTTCTCCGTTCACTTCGGTTTTTCTAGATCTTACACATTCGGTAGGACTCCTTGGGCGGGTGATCAGCTCGTCGCAAAGCCTCTACCTGTAGACAAACACAGAAAAACGCACACAAACATCCATGCCCTGAGCGGGATTCGAACCCACGGTCCCGGCTTCCGAGCAAGTGAAGACAGTGCATGCCTTAGACCGCTCGGCTACCGTGACCGGCAATAAATTTAATTAAATCCGTTAATTTGTCCTGTAGTTATGTGGTAACGGAGACACTTACAGTTAGATGATACACATGCATTATGAAAACATAATCACACGATTCGTCCAATCAGCAGATAGTGTTGGAAAGTAGTACCATATTCAAACAGGAACTTTGAACTTCATACACCCCAAATTAAAATCTGTGCTGTCCCAGCCCAATCTACAAATTATGTTATGTGACATATGCGAAACAGTGATCAAATAGATATTTATTTTAAGTTGTATGGGTATTGGTGAGAAAGCCAGAAGGAAATAGACCACTGGGAAGACCAGGGCGTAGGTGGGTGGACAATATTAAAATGGATCTTAGTAAGACAGGACGGGATGGTATGGATTGGATTGATCTGGCTCAGGATAGGGACTAGTGGATGGCTCTTGTGAACCTTCAGGTTCCATAAAATGCTTGGAAAGCCTTGAGGTGCCGCACAATTGGCGGCTTCTCAAGAAGGCTCAGCTCCATGAGTGAGTGAAGTTTTATGGGTTGTGGATAAGTTTTATATTGCCGCAATTGAGATTAAAAAGTCGTGGAAGCTGGTAAGTGCACCTACTCCGAGGAGTCATAACCCAGAGACTTCAATATGAATAATGTAATAATTGCAGCCTTTTCGTGAATTATTTTCTAGTTTATTCCATCGTCTACCTCGGATTCCTTCACGTTTCTATATGATGCTCTGTGAAGTATAGGTGTACGTTGTATAATGGGAATATTGCGTGTAAGCGTCCGTCTGCATGACGGCTTGGTTCACTACAATATCTCCTCCAGCAACCTGAAAGAATTTAAGTGCACAATATGTGAAATATAAGTTGCTGAGTTGGTCCAGTGTTTCAGCTATTTTGCATGAATCGAAATTTATTATATTTCACATACAAAAGTTAGTACAGAACATGACCAATANAACGTCTCATCCTTGTTGTATTTTGAACAGAGCCTCTAAAGATACAGTATATGTAATTACGATAATAAATTTATCTCTGAATAGATGAACACTAAGGACTTTGAGATATAAAAATTAGTAACAACATGTTTGGAAAATATATCTACTTCACTAGCTTTAAAAGCTGTAGTGTATTCAAACTAGTTATTAGATAATGTCAATTGTGTTTTTCTTTTGGAATATGTTTCTCCCCACCTAGCTGAAAGAACATGCTAAATAATTAAAAAAAAAACGAACAAATAAATTTATATCTTAAGAGATTTCTTCCATTTCCTATACTGCTATATCGCGGTGACAATCGCGCTAATAATTACAGAAATACAGACACAAGGTTCCTTCTTCTCTACGAATCAAACTGTAATTACTTCGACGCTTTGTAATAACGTGACGTTAGAATATGGTATGAGTTTGCGCAGTGCTAATCTTCCTCCGCTGGAGCTGAGTTATGTTATTATTGGTCATGGAACATAGTTATGTGCTGATTTTTCGAAAATATTCTCACTGGATATAAACGTGACCTAGAATTCAATATACATGTAAATTTTACAGATAAAGAACTTCAAAATATAGACCCTGATTTATCTTTAGCCTTAAAGAATTTTCGTACACTTCTTAACTGCTTATTCAACATTTAAAGACCGCTGTTTCAGAACTACTCCACTCACTGCCTCTCTGTGCAGCGACTGAAAGTTCAGCTTCAATGTGTATTGTCTGCAACTCCTCAGGACTTCGGAGCAGCTGCTTGGATCTGCGCCTCGTATCTCTTCTTGTATTCTCCTTTCGGGTCGTACTTGTTCAACAGCCGTTCCCAGTCCTTGCTGCGCTCTTTCGCCAGGTGTGCGATGACGCGTTCTGATGTAGTTTTCTGTTTCTCAGTGCATTTTTCACAACCTGTCAGCAGTGCGTCCGGAATTGTTTCTGTAACAAACGAAAAACCGTTCTAGCATTTAGGATCGAAAAGCTACTAAATCCGAAAAAAAAATCCTGAACTTTACAATCTTTGCCTGTGCGTGACTCTTGTACCGTCTGAAATGTTCAGGACAAGAGTTACCTGAAGAGGAAAACTGAGGCCACCCGCGAACATTCCAGATTTCTTCCTAAGGGCGACGTGCCTATAAAAGGAAGCAGGCAGTGCAGTGCAGTAGTCGAGCGGAGTTCGATGCAGGTCAGAGGAGTCAAGTGAAGTTGGTAAGCGAAGTACTGTGACCAGCAGTGCTGCCATCAAGTAAGGTGTGAACAAACAACTGAACTGAGGCTGCGCCATAGCTCAACCGGTTAGTCACTGGCTTCCCACCGCGGCGACCCGGATTCGATCCCGGGTCTAGTCAAGTGGGATTTGTGGTGGACAAAGTGGCGCTGGAGAGGGTTTTCTCCGAGTACTTCGATTCCCCATGCCAATCTTCATGCCACCAAATTCTCCATTATCATAATCACCCAGGGCAGGCTACAATAGGCTAATCAGTGGCCGCCGTGCCGAGTGGACCCAGTTGGACTCCACCCCCAACTAAGTGAATTAAAAAAATTAACAAATTAACTGAAAGCTTGCACTGAACATAAGTGGTTACGGAAGAAAATCCGCAAGCGAAGAGATCGTGAGGACCAGTACCGGTTCTCACGGTCTCTTCTCTTGCGGATTTTCTTATTTTTCTTTCTATCCTGAAGATGGAGGCGATACCTTCCTCCGAAACGTCGGTTAACACCACATCTACACAGTGCCACATCCCAGAAGACTGCGTTCTTCATTTATTTTCTGATTCGGATCTGAAATTCTGACAGTGGTGTTTATGAAGTGTTATGCCTTTAGGGATATTACTCCGGTCTACGTTGCGTTACATCGCAGAACGTAGAATTCTTCAGCTACTTTTCCAACTGATCGACTACTATATCCTCAAGAAGGACCCAGTTCTATGAATTTGGTCATTCATCGAGCCAAAGATGAGGAACCGGTAGGAGAAGAGATTCTTTCGATAAGCACGAAAGTGGTCAGACATTGTATTTACTTACATCTGCTACTGTACGGGTGTGACTAGTGAAAGTGATTGCCTTGGGACACAAACCAGGACATTCACCCGTCAAACCACTTGCGCTTTCCCTTAAACAAGACACTCCCGTACACACAGTGTCAACAAGGCAGCAACAGAACTTTGTACAGTGTGAGCCTTCAGCGAGTGACGGTTATTTAGCTGGCAAGAAATACGTGTTAGGATCTACGTTCTGTTATATTACGCCATCAGGTTCAGACCGGTTGGTGTAGTGGCTTGTATTCGGAAGGGGCTTGGTTGAATGTCGTCCGGGACACTGAACAGCCTGATTATATTTTTTCGCAGATTCCCTTAACCCTTCATGAAAAATATCGCCTGTAATCCGAGACACTGAACGCGTCATGATGTAAACTACCCCGCACCCATATATAATATGAAGTAGACCTCAAATAATTTCACCTGCGGGCAACAATGTCTTCTCTACTGGTGTGAACGGTGAACACCGGCACTAAAAGGCACAACTCAAGTAGTTTCTTGAAACTCGGTATTAACAGCACACCGCAGAACATAACCATAAATTATTATTTCAAAATATGGTGGGAGTGCGAAATTTTGAAGTAGGAGCTGTTTTAGTGCTGTGATATATAGATCACATGAATGTTGCCTAGTAATGGCCTACTGAAAAATTGAAACGTCTGCTCGGCCCAGCTTCTTTACAGTACAAACCAACATGGTGACGCGACTGCGCGAACATTGTGTTTGGATTTCCGTTAGACATGGCTGGCCGATGAATCATCAGAGCTAGTTACATGAAATTTGGCGTCGAGATAAACCTACCTTAATCAATATGAAACATTTGGTAACCTAAAATTTTCGAATTTATAGACGATAAATAACATCTGAAAATTATTGGGTTATGGATAGATTACTTAAAACTCAGAACATAAGTAGACCACTTATTTATATAAAAATATGCTTTTGTGTATAGGTGCAAGTATTTACAACACAGTAAAAAAAAGTAAATGTATCCCTGTACCAGGCTGTGAAGGCCCATAGGGGTGTGAGACGTTGAGGGTCCCACATTATCTAGACAATCGGCTCAAAGATGGCGGTAAGGTTGTCAGCCTTATGCGCCGGCCGCCCTTTACTCCCCAGGAAAATTATTTAATTAATTCCTGGTACTCATTTCTGTTAGGGGCTCAGTAAACCCCAGGGCCTAGTGCGGCTGAAATGATTAGGTCAACTGAAAAAATCCAATGACCTCATCAGGATTTGAACCCGCGAGCTTCCGGCTTGTAGCGTAGCATCTCAACCACTACGCTCCCGCGGTAGGATATGCTTTTATATGTTTCCCAGAAGTCAGTGATAACTAACCAGACCAATGAGAATAGGCTTCCTTTGTTTTTGCTCTGTGCTCAGGGAGAAAAGAAAAATTACTTGAATGATCGAAGATAATGAAATGGACAAGAAACGTGGCATGCAATGGAGCGAAGAGAAGGTCATACACAATTTGGGGGAGGGGGTGTATCGGGAGAAAACAATCACTAGGAAACTTAGGGGTATATAGGCTGACCATAGTAAAGCTAGAGTTCCCATGTAGCAAAATCTGCAATAAAATTTCAGAAAATATTCTTGTTGTTAGTTGTGGTTACTCAAACTGCTTGTCACATTTCATTGTGGGATAATCGTTCCTGTCTTCTTATCTAATCTCTCTTGAACTTTGATTTACTTCCCTTCTTTCTACGATATTTCTTTTCAATCTTTTGCCTATCCTACCTTAACTTCCTTCCTCTCCATCAAATTAAAAGGCTCCCTCATCTTCGCTTTTCTGTAAGTTGATGCATAACACACATGGATCTCCTTCTATCTTCTCTCCCGAATTCCTTTCTTATCCCTTTATATCTTCATCTTACTGTCATTTATCTCACCTATCAATGCCAGGAAAGAGTGAGGATACTTCCCTTATCACGGCAACGGCAGAAGATAGTAACCTTGCAACAGCAGATCACTTGTCGGACGGAAGACAGGCTTGCGGTTATGGACTGAATTCACCCGATTCAGGATAGGAACTAAGGGGTGTAGGGGGATTGTTTCGATCATGATAATGAACCATAGGGCTCCACAGAATGCTTGGAAATTCTTGAGTAGCTGAGCCTGTGAAGAAAGGCTCGACTGCGTGAGGTTTTTGATGATTTAAGAAGAAATAGGACGAAACAAAAATAAAAAAAAAGTATTCTAACAGCAGCCTTCACGATAGTTTCACACTTTCTGATGATCATCATTGCATATTTCAATGGCGCTAATATCGCCAAGTACGCACAGACGCCATATTAGCATTATGAAGTACAGGAAACTAGAAGGCAAGACGGTGGTGTGAGTCATGCTCATACAAGATTTCATGAAAATCCCATTGTGCTCAGCACTTACTGGCGGGGCAGTCAAGAAACTCGCAGGCAAGGTATTGACAAAGGGGAGCAGGCAACTTGCACAAACAGTGATCAGCAGGGCCCGGATTTTGATGACCTGAACATATTTAAAAAATGACCTATAAAATGACCGAAAAAATCCAGAAAAAATACCTAAAGGAGAAAAGAAAGAACACTTCGCTTCCATGTTATTTATATTTCAGAAAACACATGAAGAAAAATTCCCTAAAATGGCCAAAAATGACAAGATATACTCTTAAAAGTCCAAAAATTTACCAAAAAATTACCCCCCAAATGAAAAAATTACATTAAACCTAAAAATGTCAAAAAATTACCTATAAAATTTACATTTCTGTAACCAGCAGCTCATATCCAAGATTTATATATTCAAGAGCATCGCATATGATACAAGGAAAAGAGATGACATGTCATCAAAATCCGGGTCCTGGTGATCAGTATGGCGCCAACAAGCCTCCAAGTCTACTGCTGAAATTTGGTTACAGTTCACAGAATTGGAAGTTGTCCGCGAATACAGCAGGTCCGAATTTTCCTTTCGAGTTGGTGGGTACAGGTGCACCAGTTCCTAGCAAGAGAGTGAGGTGGCTGATTCAGGGGGGAAGCCTTATCCTACCTCATAAAGAAGTTCAGTGTGTGGGGAAATAAGCTGGACACTGTGAATTTTCGCTTAGTTGGGGGTGGAGTACAACTGGGTCCACTCGGCACAGCGGCCACTGATTGGTCTATTGTAGCCTGCCCCGGGTGATTATGATGATAGAGAATTTGGTGGAATGAAGATTGGCAGGGGAAACCGAAGTACTCGGAGAAAACCTGCCCCAGCGCCACTTTGTCCACCACAAATCACACTTGACCAGACCCGGGATCGAACCCGGGCCGCCGCGGTGGGAAGCCAGCGACTAACCGCTTGAGATATGGCGCGGCCTGAACACTGTGAAACTTAAGCTCCAATTATACCGCAACTAAACCGTGTCTAAATTATCCATGAAGACACGCCGTGCATTGAGCAGCCAGCTTTAGAGAAGGAACGGTTTGTATACTCAGCGAAATCTAATATGGCGGCTGCGATATCTTATGTTCAAAGTAAAATCTAGTAATTTGTAATGCTGATGTAAGGGGCCTATGTCACTATCTGATGGTGGGACAAACCTAACAAATTTTAAAAATAAATTATGTTGGACAGTGCCCAAGCAGATTTCTACTAGAATTTCAGTTATGTTAAAGACTTTTCAAATTAACCGAAACCATTTTGTGCAGTATCCATTTATTTTGGGGCCGTTTACGAAGTCAATTGTACCTCTACATTAGTTATACTGTGCTCTGGCAGTTTTCTGAAACACAGTGTATTTAAAACGAAAGGCATTTCTGAGAATGTTCTTTTCCCCTCTTCAGGTGATTACTTATCATTGTAGTGATAGATTTGTTTATTGTTCTTATTTCTGTGTATGTGACACAGAGAAGGGGGTTAAAGGCTATTTGCACCTGAATAAAAGAGGAATTATACATCCTTTACAAAACCTTTTATTGAATTAAACAGGTTTAAACACTTTTCAAATTGTGCAGTGGACAGACTAGTGTGTAAAACTTTGAAAATAAAGGACGATGCCTCTTCCGTTATAAGCCGTTGTAAAAGAGGCTGTATACGTTTCTGTTTATATTATCACTAATCTAGTCCCCGAATTATGGAATAATATAGGTAAAAAAGGTAAAATTGTCCCTGTGCTTAACGAATTAAACATTACGCAATGAAGGCTTATGGGGGAGTGGATATATAGATCCACATTTCCTTGACCTCGGCACTAGTTGGAGGTGAGTGGTCACCTTCACGCCCTTGCCGCTTTACCCCCGGTAAAGAGCCCCCAATACCCACTGGATACGAGGCTGCGTGGACCTCAGAGCCGGTCTGGACGACGTGTAGAAGAGTAAACGATAAAATGGCTGAATAATGTAGAAAACGAAACCAGTTAGAAATATCTGTGAGTATGACGATTGTCACTTGCAGAACCATATGCCGCTGAAAGTACTCACTCTTGAGCTCCCTCGCGTCGGGTGTGCATGGGCCCTCATCCAACATGCATTTAATGTAGTTGGTCAGAATTCGATTGTTGTTCAGGATGCTCTCTACGTCCACGTTGTCGTACTTGTTGGTGTAAGTCTTCTGCTTGTCTGCAGCGGACAGCACTGCGAGCAGCAGGACCGGAAGTAAGGCGCACCAGTGTCTCATGGCGGATGTGTAGTGAGCGAGTGGGTCACGCCTGTCGTCTATATACCTGGACCACGCGCAGGACTCCCTCTCCTCCGAGTGTGACCCACACCGGCCCACAGGCAGCAGCCAAACGTCAGCACTTGCACAATACGTTCCTGCATTGCAGTTGTGTTTATAATAATAAACCTATATTCTGGACAACATATGAACTGCAGTGAGAAAGTTTCCACTGTGACTTCCGTTGCCAGGGGCAGTCTGCAGCCAGGCGTCTCTTGAGAAGCTTGCATATATTACGGGAATGACATTTCACTGGCTGCGGTTTTCACTAGCCTACTTTCCTTTCTTTGAAGGAAGGGTTTCGACTTATGAGGTCACTATGTTGTGCATGCCCTTCTTTCATTGAATAAACTGACTGACCAATACTCACGAAACTTGGTATGAATGTTGTACATTTGGAAGTAACCCTAAACTCTTGCTTCTAAGCTTCCTACAATTGGTAATAACAAAATGGCGGGCGCAAAAACTTAAGACTTACTCTAGGATCCTGAAATATAAGAATGATATTGCTGCGTAGTTCGGTACAGGGGCACAAGGTAGCGTACTCGGTTGAGGCACTATGCCACAAGCCAGAAAGTATGGGGTTAGTTTCCCGATGAAGACAATGGATATTCAACTAACCTAATCCTTCCTGGGGTTGACTCAACCTGTAACAGAAATGAGTATCAGGAATCTCCCTGGGTATAAAGGGCGGCTGGAGCGTAAGTCTGACAACCTCATCGCCATCTGTGAGCTGACTGTCTAGAAAAATCTGGAAGCCTCGAAGTTGATCACAGGGGTCAAGCGGTCTAAAGCATGAACCGTCTTCGCTCGCTCGAACGCTGGGATCGTGGGTTTCAAACCTACTCATGGCATGAATGTCTTTGTGTGCGTTTATTCTGTGTCTGTGTTGTCCTGTGTGTAGGCAGAGTCCTTGCGACGGGCTGATCCCACGTCCAAGGAGTGCTGCTGTCTGTGTAAAAAAAGATTACTAAACTGAAGAAGCTAGGGCCCAACAAAGGGATGTACAGCCATTGATGAATGAATGAATGTAGTTGGGTAGAAGTCACCGACGTTTCGGAAGAAAGTAACTCTTCCATCTTTAGGGACGAAGAATAAGCCAATCAAGAAACCAGGAGCAGCATATTTAAAGCTGATTTCCTATAAGACTTACTCTTCCACCCGAAAGATGGAGACGTTACATTCCTCCGAAACATCGGTGGACTTCCACCGAATTACATTAGAACCCAGAAGATCGCACCCTTCACGCTCACCGCTGTGAGAATTGGTGATGGATATCAGAATGATATGCGATTTTCAACAAGGCACCTTTCGTGTACGAGGTAATGTGTAGGCAGGAGACGGTGTCTACATGAAATTCATATTTAACTTTCCGTTGATGACGACTGGAGCTATGCAAGCGTAATCTAGTAAAGAGATGGATCGCAAATATATACATAAATTCTACTCATACAAATGCCGTTTATAAATCCACAATTATACTCGTAAATATGGCGACGGCGCGATACTTCGGGGTTAGGATCTGTGACTAACTTAACGTAGATAACTTATACTTCATATATTTTTCATAAAAATAAGATAATATTAAAATAATAATGTGAACATATAATATATTTCAGGATTCGCGACAGTGGAGTCGGTATAGCGACTGGCTAAGGGCTGGACGAACGAGGGGTCGGAATTCGAGTTCCGGAACTGTCAAGAATTTTCTCCTCTCCACGTCGTTCAGACCGACTCTGAGCCCACCAAACCTCTTATCCAATGGGTACCGGGATCTTTTTCCCCAGGGGTAAAGCGGCAGGGACGTGACCAACCTCCAGCTAGTGGCGAGGTCAAGAAAATGTGGATCTATACATCCACTCTCCCATACGCCTTCATGGCGTAGTGCTCAATTAGTTAAGCACAGGGACAACTTTACCTTTACTTTTATAATACTTCGTGACTCGATCATTATCGCTATGACCGCCTGGGCACAAGTCTAACGCGCTAACCAATGAGCTAGCATGAGTTCCATTCTTGCAGGACATTATTAATTTATCTTTTGAAAATAAAAGTCGCTTAATAGCCGTAAATGCCAGAAGAATTAATTCCGAAGAATTTAACGGTAGGACTGCATGAGGAGCACGCAATGTCCATTTGGTATTCGAAGAAATCTCTCATCAAGATTTTGCTCCGACAGGGTCATGGAGGTACCGCACTTTTACAAGGCTTCCAGTCGTCCTCATAACGGTGGTATGAACCTTCGTCCAGTCTGCTATGTGGTCTATGTTATTAAGTATTTACTACATGTGAGAGTTTCTTGACTGAGTTCCTCATAACCTCTTACAGAGCTGCAAGTCTCACTCGGTCTAATTATCTGTCCCATCATTCAGCTGTACACCTGGTTTGGGATACCACGTCACTGGAGATTCAATATCTTGGTACTTTCTTTCTGATGCAAAGAAGTACGAAACTGGCTGCCGCAAGAACACGTAGGCGGGGAATAACATTTGTTCCACGCGATGAAAGATGTTCTTTAAGGTGAGAAATACTAAATACTGTAGCATAGTTTATTGAGGCACTATGCTGTAAGCCGGAAGGCTGCGGGTTCAATTCCTGATGAGTCCACTGGATTTTTCAATTGACCTAATCCTTCCGGCCGCAATATGGCCCTGGGGTCGCCTCAGCCTCTAGTAGAAGTTTTCAGGCGTTTTGGACGAAAGTACAGCCTCCATCTTCAGAGTCGGCTCACTCTTTGATTCTCAGTAAGATGGAGATATTGTTTGGTAGAATTTTACCGATGTTTCGGGGGGAAAAAACATTTTTCATCTTCAGGTTCAGATTACTCTTCGATTCTGAAGATGGTAGCAGTTCGTTTCTCTAAAACGACGCTGAACATACACTAGGCAACAGTGTGTCACATTCCAGGAGATGGTAGGATTATTTTTCAGTCACAGTCGTAAGAACCTCAAATCCAGCTACGTCCAGATTTACTTTCCTCCAAATCGTCGTTAAACGGAAGTAAAACTCCACGAATCTAAAACTCGGCAGTTGATGTATGTGAGTTGTTAGCTTCACGCTCCAGCGGCTTTACCTCCGAAGAAAGAGAACCCGGAACCAATTGGATAGGAGACTGGTTGGGCCCTAGAACCGACTCAGCTGCCATGTGTATTAATGTAAATCAAGTGTGTTTCTCTGGCGATTTAAGAAAGACCAAACGCAGTTGTCAAAATTTAGCACTTACACATTGTGCTTCGTGCAGCAGAAATTACTTATATTTCGGCTGCTTTTATACGTATCACCCTGTACGATGTTGGTATCCGCTCACTGCTGGTGAAGAAAGCGTTTAGTATGAACCTAATATGGTACCAAGGCCAAATAGGAGCCCTGTCCTTCATAATGGCAGCTAAACCTGAGAAATGTTTGCCGACACCTCACATCGCCCATCTCCTCATCAGTAGTGTGTGCAGGCAAAGCTTTGCGTAAGATACCACACTCCAAAAAATGGCGTGGTCTCTTACTTTGGTATGGGGTTTTTATTAACATCAATATGAAATGGAGTTGGGATAGCTCAGTCGGTATAGCGACTAGGCTATGGGCTGGACAACCGAGCAATCGCGTTTCGATTCCCTGCATGAGCAAGACACTTTTCTCCACACAAAATCCAACCGAGACTCACCCAGCCTCCTAGAGAGTGGGTAACGGAGTCTGTTTCCTTTGGGATAAAGCAACAGGGGCATGAAGCTGACCACTCACCTCCATCTATTTCCCAACTTAAAAAATGGTGGAACTGTACCACACTTCTCCATGGCATGGTGCCTAATTAATTAAGTTCAACTATAATTTTACCTTTACCTTAGAGATCAGAAATAATTAGGAATTGTATATTTGCCTAATATGCAATTTGCCCCGGGTTCCTTCTTATTATCGGCACGGATCTTAAAAGAAATTAATAAATACCAACAAATTCCTTCGCAACGGCATATAATGCTCAGTTTCTTTTTCCTTGGCACTACAGCCCCAGTGGGCCTAGGCCTACCTCCATGAACTTCTCTGTTCACTTCGGTTTTTCTAGATCTTAGACATATGGTAGGACTCCTTGGGCGGGTGATCAGCTCGTCGCAAGGCCTCTACCTGTACACAAACACAGAAAAACGCACACAAACATCCATGCCCTGAGTGGGATTCGAACCCACGATCCCGGTTTCCGAGCGAGCGAAGACAGTACATGGCCCTAACTCAGTTTACAGTACTAAATTTGACTAAATCAAAACCAACACTGGATTATTTCAAGAACTTAACCTTGTTTCCATTACGAAACAGCAGCGAAGCCTCCCCTCATACGGCTGGTACCAAAAGAAACAATTCAATTTCCCACGCAGTAAAACGGTTTATTGAGAGGTGTACGTGCACAGCGTTAAAAATGTGTGAAACTGTGACGTCATCAGCCGCTGTAGCGGGCCACTACAGGAATAGTCATACTATGTCTACGAAGTGTGAATATCATGCAGCTGCTTCAAATCCGAAGCGGTGATTTGACGAGAAATGTTAAGTTTATCTGACGTAATAAGCATGTTAATAGGAATGTGGTTAGGATGCCTCTGCTGCACGAAGTTCACTATCCGGCGGGCTTAATGGCTTGTTTGGGAGAGCAGGGCCTGCAGTTGAGGGTCACCACTTCCGGAAGAGCCACTGGGAACAGAACTGAATTCAGCTCTTCTGTTGAAGAGCTCGACAATATGAGTAGCTCATTAGACCCTAGACAAGTGAGCAATTTTACATTTTCATTAAATTTGAAAATATTTGAAGAATTCTATGTTCTGGGATATAAAGCCGTATAAGTAAAGTAAAGGTATCCTTGTAACAGGCCTTGGAGGCCCATAGGGTTGTGAGATGTTGAGGTTCCCACATTTTCTCTAGACAATCGGCTCACAGATTGCGGTAAGGTTATCAGCCTTAAGCGCCGGCCGCCCTTCACCTCCAAGAATATTACTGGTACTCATTTCTGTTAGAGGCTCAGTCGAAACCAGGGACATAGTGCGGCTGGCAGGATTAGGTAAATTGAAGAAATCCACCTCATCGG